TCAAATCATTGTAATCAAGAAGTCAAGTGTTCTTTTGTCTGATCACATGCTTCAATATTTTGGATTTTCAATAAGACAAACTTAGAGAGTAACTATTTGTCATTTTGACAACAAAAAAGACATAGTCACATTATTTATTAACCCTAGGCACCTCTTATTATGGACTTTGAGGTTAAGCCTACATTGTTATTTTTCCACACAAATCAAAATTAGGTATCTAAGACCCATTATATTGGATCAAGCTAAAATATTGTGGTTTAACTCCAATACAATGTCAACCACTAACATAATGATTATAATGACACCGAGGTTAAAATAGTATGTCTCAACTTCAACATGATCACTAACACACTGGACCCAACAATATCAAGTTTAAAATATTATGTGTCAGCTCTAACATGATGTCACCCACCGAATAGTGATTCCAAGAACATTGAGCTTAAAACATTATGCATGAGCTTTAACATGGTGCCAACCACTAATAGGTCCAAAAACAAAAGATTTATCAATATAGGGGAAGATAACACATAACTCATACTCTTACTAGACAAACATATCATAACAACTCAGATGCCCAAGTTTTCAACAAGTCATATAAAACTACACGTTTTTTCAAAACCAATTCAAATATTGATTATAACATCAAATACACATCTCCCATTAATTTCACAATTACTTAAAAAAACTTTTCTTATCTTGAACTTGTTTTCCTTTAGACTTTGTTCTCTCAAAAATTTTACCCTGTTAATGATATAAAAGCATATGTTGTAGGATCACTATCACCTTTCCAAAGGTTACAAAAAACATACAATATAAGAGACAACCCAAGATATAAAAAAATTATTAATAATGAGGCTAATATAATAACATTTTCTCCTTTTGACAGAATGCACAAACCATGGTTACAGTCTTGGTCAAAAACTCAAATGGATTAACTTATGAGCACACAATGAGTTCAAATAATTGCTCTATTTGAGTTGACAAATCTTTTATCCAACGTGTTATTCAATAATCTCATCTTAGAAAGACACAATTAACACAAAACATGAATGCTTTAAAATGTACTACAAGATAAGATATAACTTAAAAAATAATAAGTTAATATTGCAAGAAAAATATATATAATAACACATCCTCCTTTAGGCAGAATACACAAATCAATGTTACAACCTTAGTCAAAACTTATGATGGGTTAATTCATAAGCACACACTGAATTTAGAAAATTGTCCCCTTTAGACAAATAAATCAATTAACCCAATGCATTCTCTAATAACTTCATCTATTTTAACTTTTAACCCAAACATACAACTATCCTCATTCATATAAAGTTGGCTCTGATACTAAATGTAAGAAAAACATGCAAAAAATATCATGCTTTATATGAATTTAGAATATTGATTTAAATGATATAATTACTTATAGAGGGTGTGGTTGAATATGCCTTCGACAACTTCTTATGCATTGTTCAAGTCATTGTAATCAAGAAGTTAAATTTTCTTTTACTTAATCATACACTTTAATATTCTAGGTTTTTAATGAGACAAATTTAGAGAGCAATTATTTGTAATCAAAATAATAAAGAGAACTTATTGACATTATTTATTAATCCTAGATACCTCTCATTATAGGTTTTAAAATTAGACCTACATTATTTTTCACACATTAAAATCAAGTGTCCAAAATCATTATATTATATCATATTATTAGTAGACTTAAATATCATCAAATAGATTATAATATTAACCTGTCTTTGACAAACAAAAAATTACTGACACACAACAAAATAAATAAAGCATAATGAAACAAATATATTATTTTTACCCACCATGTGCAGTACCACAAACTCAAACCCCAATATCAAACATGACAACATGCAAATCTCAAAACATCAAAATATAAAAATATTACCGTCAAAGCACCAATTCTAGTCACATATGTGCGAAATATTACAATAAAATAAAGTTTTAGTGGTATTTAATATGCTGATAATAAAAATTGTTATAAATTTTTTTCTCAAAGTTAAGAAACCACTTCATTTTGAATGAACAAAATTAAGTTACTTAGAATGCACTTTCTGTCATTTTGAATGGAAAAATTCACTTCGTTTTGAATAAGCAAAATTACATTGTCTTGAATGTACAAAGTGCATGTTTGGTTTGCAATTGAAAATTTTAAAATCATGTTAAATAAAAAAGATATAATTTTTTTTTATTTTTTTAGTTTAGTACAAATGTGTGGATTTTATTTATATTAATGTAAACGGATTTTTAAACACACTCAAAATTACAACGTTGTTTTGAATGTATAAAATGACGTTGTTTTATAATTAATGGGCACATGGACAATATTGACGTAGTTATACTCTACGCCATTACCACATAGGAATATTTCATCGACTTACATAATCTCCCCCGATATAAAGACAAATATGCTATTATATATACTAATGAAGGGACCATTTTAAAACTTGTAATAATTAGCGGACCACAATGAACTCATAAATTAAGTGATTAAAGGTAGAAATTTGTATTAAATATTAAGAAGAGTTTCGTGTTCATAATAATCATGTTTAAATTCATAGTAATCTTAGGGGGTGTATTGGTTTAGGATTTCGTAGGATTTTAAGGTATTATAAATAGATCACACGTAACGAGGTATGTCACTGTTCAATTATTATCCTAGAAAATCGTGCTTGTCCTGACTTGAGCGTTGGAGTGCCTTTTGTAGGTACCTCCCCTCTCTGAAGAATCCCCCTGAAGCTCCCGTTCGGCCCTTCACCACAGAAGATTACGAGTGTGCCCTCAGACAAGTACAGTATAAAAGACTATCAACATATTTCACAATTATTAAAGAATAATCATAAATTTTTAATTTTTATATTAAAAAAATCATTTACAAATTTAAGTTGATATTCTAAACAGTATTTTTAAACACATTTTTTTATTGGAAACCACTGAAATGATTGATTTTTTTTTTCGTTTCCCATACATGTTGTATATCTACATTAATTTTCCGTTTTATTCCTATATATGAAATATTGTTTTACTTTATACAGAAATAATTTCTTATCTTTTAGTATCAATTGTTAGTTTTTTCTAACGGAGTAAAATTACTATAAAATAGAAGCACAAGGATTAATATAATTTTTTTTATACGTGTAAGAACTAATATATAAAACTTTTAAATATATATAAGAACTACAACAAAAAGTTAATACAAAATTAGAAAGTAAACATGGTTGAAGAAAAAAAAAATTTAGTTTTGGCACACGTGTGGTCCTAAAATACTTTGGGTAGACACGTTCGATCTGGTGTGGTCGCCAAAAGCCATAGTGATAAGAAAGATATTTGGCAAGGCACCCCGCACCTGACCCGAGTAGAGTGACCATCTCTTTCCCGCTTCCAGCTCAAGTTGTAGAAAGAGCTCCTTGCAGAAGCAGAACCCCCCAACGCCTCTCACCATTATTAGGGTTTTCATTTTCAACTATCAAAATTGCACTCTCTCTTCTCTCACCCTATCCTTAACACAATGGCCACTTGCACTTCTCTTTCTCTCTCTCCTCACACCTTCTGTTGCCGCCATCGCCCTTACCCTACGCGCCGTTCCCTTACTTGCTCTCTCTCCTCTTCGCCCCTCCCAGGTACTCCATCTTCGCCATTTCTCTTTCCTTTTGAACAAACTTTGATTAAATGGATGCGGTTCCGTTGAGGTCTTTTCCAATTAAGGTTTTAACCTTTGAAGCGGGATGGTTTTTAACTAGGAGTTCTAATGTATGACGTGAGAGTTTCCGAGACACTAAAGTGTGATATTAGCACCTTTGAGAGAGGTTTTGTTTTGGTTTGGAATTCGGTTTGGCTTAAATGAGTATAAATGAGTGATACTGCAACCAACTGCGGCCCGGCCAACGGCCGAAGACACCCAGCAACCCAAGCATTTACCTGTCGGCTCGGTAATGAGCCGAAGGATAAAGCAAGGATTACGCCAATGATCACGATCAGCAAGGACAAATACATGATTAAGGCATAATCAGCCGATTAACATCGTATTACCTAATTCGGTAAGTGTCAGAGAAGGCCCACCATGTTCAGGCCCATGTCAGGTATTATAAATAGATCACACGTAACGAGGTATGTCACTGTTCAATTATTATCCTAGAAAATCGTGCTTGTCCTGACTTGAGCGTTGGAGTGCCTTTTGTAGGTACCTCCCCTCTCTGAAGAATCCACCTGAAGCTCCCGTTCGGCCCTTCACCACAGAAGATTACGAGTTTAGAGATGACAATGTGGTAGGTGGGAGCGAGTTTGAGTTAGTTTTCATCATCTGTCATATTTAATGACTATTTAATACGAATATTCCTTGAATATCCAAAAACCTTATATATATATATATATAAGAAATAAAATAAAATTAAACAATTAATTTTAAAAATATACTTATACTAAAAATAGAAACATACATTCGTACTATAAAAAAATTGTGAAATATATATATTTATATATATAGTAAAAAAATTAGATCAAATTATTTTGTGTAAAATTAAAAATATTTTTAATAATTTTAAAATATAAATACTCAGAATACACATACCTTATTATTTATCTCCACCTCATTAATAAACAAATACCTATTTAATTATTTATTTTCAATCCATAACAAATTTTACCAGTGAATACACAGAATTTTTTTTCTTCATTTTTCATCATACATTATTCAAACATGATTATTTAGTACTATGATGCCTAATTTTTAAACAAAAATATTAATAGCATACATTTGATAATTTATTTTATTATTTTAATATTTATCTCTCCATCATTAATAAATATAAATATAATAAATGATGTGATAAAGATAAGAAAAATAATTTTTTTACAAAGTTATGTTTTTTTAATAAAAAAAATGGTGTTTATTGTTTAATAATTTATTGTGTAGAAATATTATTTCTAAAAAATAATAGTTAAAACTTAAAAGTGGTTCCCTTTCTTTGCTGCCTACCACATCCAATCAAATCGAAAGTTGAAACAAGTAAGAAGGAGGAATTTGCCTTTCTTACCCGAAGTTTTCTCTGAGGCGCAGACAGAGGAAGGAAAGAGATGGAAGCTGTGAGTGGAAGCAGTGTTTGCGTGACATCCTCTCTTGCGCCACGCTCACCAACACTACCCAAGTCCACCGTGTCTCTGCTACGCGCCTCTCACCAACACCTCACAGCATTTCCTTCACAATCCCATCTCTTCTCCTACCACTCTCCACCCTATGCTAAAACCCTCCGTGCCAGAACCGCTTCCAAACCCGCCATTTTCCTTCCCCACTTAATCGCTTCTCTGGTTTCCTCTCTCTCTCTCTCTCTCTCTCTCAACTCTTTTGAAATTTCCAACTTTAATTCATCAGAAGCGTATCTGTAATTGTTAATAATTCCAATGTGCAGGAACAAGTTGACCAGACTTACATAATGGTGAAGCCTGACGGCGTGCAACGCGGCCTCGTGAGCCTCTTAATTTGTTCGCTGCAATTTCATTTGTTATGGTTTCAGTAATAGAGAAAAAATTATAATTGAAGTAAAAGCTTAGAATTATTGATATTGTTGTTTTGGATGATGGTTAGTTAGGGCTCCCAGCCCGAAATGCTGATATTCTTGTTGTGTTGAACTGGTTAGGTGGGAGAAATTATTTCTAGGTTTGAGAAGAAGGGGTTTAAGTTAACTGGCTTGAAGCTCTTCCAGTGCTCAAAAGAATTGGCTGAGGTTTGTACTCGCTGCAATACTTGCTTGTATGATATCATGTGTAGAGTGCAGTGTTTTTTCTTATTGTTGGGATTATGGAGTTCAGGTAGGAAAGGAGGAAAAGAGAGAAAGAAGGCTCCTGATAATATTTTATAAAACTGATATGGAGTATAATAATGATATGATATGATACAAAGTATTAATTCAATGGTCCTATTTGCATTTACAATACAATTAACTGTAATTAAATAAGGAAATGCAATGAGAAGATTGATTCCTCGGTTAGAAAACTAATTGATTCCAAAATATATTCTGATCATCTAAGATATTCACAGATACAGAGGATACAATGGTAACATTCCCTCTATAAACTTTAGCTTGTTTGTTACAATATATTTAAAAAAAAAAAAAAAAAAAAAAAAAAAAAAAAAGCACTGCTAGGGAAGTAGTGGTCACAATGGGAGGTTTGCTCTTGTAAATGTGCATACCAGGCGAGACACCTTCGTAACAAGGGAACGCAATGAGAGAGGAGCCAATCACATTTGGTATAGAGCCAATCTGCAAAAGGACAATTTGAAACAGAGCCAACATGAAAGACAGGCTTGAAAATGGAGTCAATCTTTGGTAAGAGGGGGGCTGGTACAGAATTCTACAGTTCAAAATGTAGCTGGAACAGCGTGAAAAGAGATGAGAAAAAACAATAACTGGGTTTTTGGTGGAGGTGAATAATGATGTAATGAGCTCTGTAAATTTGACTTAAGAAACTGACTTCAAGGTGGATAGTAAGGCCAGATTATGGGGTTTTGGTAGGGAAAGAGGAAA